ACATTTAATTGAAACCTTACTTCAAGATGCTTTGTGTTTGTGTTCTTTGTTGTCAGTTTAACCTCTGAAGCTCTTTAACACTGGCAAATTGCTGTTATATCCTTTGGATTGTCTTGAAACCATTCCATAAGTGGACAATGAAATTGATACATGGGAAGAAATGTCAAATCGTAGGGTAGATTTTAAAGTGTTTAATATTTATTGTGGGTCTTCTCCAGCATAGTTTGAGATGATTTAAGCTCTTTCTTTAGGCCTGAGCAAATTGGTCTTGGGATGAAATCTCACCTAGGGAATTTTATGTCATTCAGTAGTTAGTCTATTTTGTTTTTTTAAGTTTCTCTGTGTCTGAATGCACCAAGTGGCTGTCAAGTTTCTGTGAAATGGAGACTTAACTGCAGCACACAATCTAAATGCAAAATCCTTAGATGGAAGTTTAATTGTGTAAAATGCACACAAGGTAATTAAGAATAAACTTTAGAACATTTCGGACTATAAAGTCTCCCTTCAGCTATATTGAAAATGCTTATTTTCAATTTCCCAAGAAGCATAGGATATGTCTAAATTAAGAATTAAAAAACAAACAAACAAAAAAAACAACTGCTTTTCAGTGCAAGTGTAAACTTAAAACTCATCCGGTTACATTGCTGACGGTTGAGTAGGTAACTTGGTCTGGTGTGCTTCTGGCCGCATTGTCCTTCTTTCTGTAGTTCTAGGATGCCAGTTAATTTCCTGTCATGTTGGCACTGGATAAATATTTTCTACCTTAACTTTCTGCTAAAATGCAAAGGGTTTCAATATTTGACAATTGTTTTAGTTATAGTTTCTGTGTGTGTGTGTGTGTGGTGTTATACACACAGAGGCCCAAATACATTTATTATTTACACTATTAATTCCAACATACTCCAGTGCTGCTACCTCAAGAACAATTCGTAGGTTATGGTTGGTCAAATCAAAGATCAATAACTGGCTCCAAGGAGTGTTTTTAGTTTTACAGTAAAATGTTAGTTGTTCCTGTTATTTCAATGTATTCCCAACTTGTAACCACATCCACAGCCTCTCCTGCCCTTTACACAAGAAATGTCCCACAACTCCTGTTGAGAAGTCTGTTAGTGTCTGGAATTAAAATGCACTTGTTTATTTAACATTACATGGACCCCTTTCCCTGCCTCCTGCCCACCTCCACCCCAGCCGCCTCACAGTAGACCTGTTCCAGATCCTTCCAAAGCCAGCCAGCTCCTCCTGGGAGCATAAGGAGGAGAGTCTGTTGATGGATTGCTGGAGTGTCTTCACTTTCAGTCCACTTTTTAAAAAAACAAAACAAAACAAAACACTGGACTTAAGCTGCCTATATTTAAATGTTTCCCTTGTAAAGATGACGGAGTGAGTGGAGATCCCTATTGGCAAAGCCCTAATCTGTTTGCTTTGTTGTAATCCTTCTTCTCCTCCTCCTCCTTTACTTTAACTGTTAACCTATTTATAAATCTAAATCTACACACAGAGGTCATTGGTTGGCTGAACTTAAACCATTTTACTCAGTAAATTTAATTAAGAAAATACAGTGCAACTCATAAGCAAATGAGTTTTTTCCTGGTTTTAAACCAAACCACCCTCTTGAGTGCTGATTGCCTTGCCCGACCCCTGGTGATACAGAAACAGGCAAAATTAAAAAGGACATTAAAGCTTCATTAAATCTGAAACACATTTAGTACAGTGACATATCTGCAGGCCATTTCAGAGAAGATTACACACTCTTTTGTAAGTTTCCTAATTTATAATACCTTGACAATAAAAACCGGGGAAGTGCAAGTTGATTATTAGGCCAGTAGGGGTAAGAGACACAGACCTGCCCAGGCCCAGCCTCTGAAATGCCCGCAGCCTGTGTGGCCCCCCTCCCCTGGTCCCAGTGTCTAGTGTGGCTGTTGTGAAGAGGTTCTGCACAGAGTGTTCTTTCTCCTTCTTCCTCACAGCTTGACCACGGGCTCTGGGGCCCACCTTGTGTTTTCTTCTACTTTGTCACCGGATGAGTAGTGAGCGATGAATTGCTCTGGGGCTCCATTCCATTGAAAGATAGGACACAAGGAAGGGGAGTCCTCTGCAGGGGCCTTCAGACGCCTGCTGTCAATGCTGCCCAGTCTCACCCACCTGGGCTCACTAGCGGAGAGCTGGACTCCATAAGAAAAGTGACCGCCCTGCTACTCTGTCAGCCGTACTGACCCGCCAAGGGCAATGGACCCTTCTGATTCATGTAAATCCAGAGAGGTTTCACCTGCATGATGCTAGATAGGACTGAGGTCCCGAAGGATAGACATCAGAAAAATGCAAAACAAAGTCAGACCCAAGGATGCTGCTTTCCCCAGGCCAGCCACTGCCGCCTGTTTCTAAGCAGACTAGCCAAAGAGGCTGCCACCCGCCTGCCCAGACCAGGTCTTCCCTCCAACCTCCTGCATAGCAGTGTCTTAAATGAGTGACACCAGCCAGCCTTGCTTCCTGTCCCAGCATGCACACACACACTCCTGTCTGCTGGGTCCTAGCTACAGACCAATGCTGACTAGCCAGTCAGAGGCCTTGTGTTAAAATGAGAGGTAGTCAGTTCTCACAGTATCTTGCTCATTTTTCTTACACCCTCTGCTTATTTTATTTCTGTGTTTGTTTGATTTGTTTGTTTTTCTGTTTGTTTGTTTGGTGTTGTGAGCAGACTAATGTTGAAGTCAGGGTTCTTTCTGAAGTTCTGAGATTACAGACATACCCCACCACACCTGTCTCATTTCTTAGTTCTTTAAACTGCAAGAAGCAAGAGTGTTGGCATCTTCTGGGTCACTTAGCTTTTGATAGTCAATCCTGTGGGCAGAAATCTTCCTTGGGCCCCTATGATGTTTTCAACATGTACCTATAAGAATAGGACATGTCTCTATAAGGAATTTATAGGCTCTTGGCCATTTTAGATGAGAAATCTTTTTCTTTCTTTCTGTTTCTTTACCCCAGTTGAGATTCATACAGATCAGCGTGGTAATAGGTAGCAGCTTTTGGTCACTCCCCACTGCCTGTCAGGTCGTGCCAGAATGGTGCATCCACCACAGCCGACCACAGCGACTCCAGAGTCAGTGTGCACGCTCACTGGCAGGCGCACACTGCCATTTTCAGTTTGCGTTGGGTGGGAGCAGTGGGAGCAGCATGACAGCACGTGGTCAGCAGCCAGAACCACACAAAGCCTACTGAGCGAGGTGAGCGCCCACCCTCTTTCCCGGGCCTCATTTTATATATTTTCTCATTTGTATGTGAAAAGATTAAGGAAATCCATCAAATGAAATAACGGTGGCTTAAATTTACATCTGGAAAATCCGTATAATTATTAATGTACATAAGATATGAGCACAAGGTGCCACTTAACGAGCTATTCTAGCACGCACAGGCGAACACAGCACACGCAGACATCCAGATGAGCGCTGGCCTTTCCAAAGGGGCCCAACCGTGCAAAACCGTATGGGTCATTCCTGTTACACTGCTATTCAAGCCGCCTGTAGAATTTTGAAAGTCTCAACACCGCAGGCTGTCCTTAGTAAGTAATCTTTGCAGGTATTCAGAGTTTAAAAATACATGGGCATTCAGGCATCAGGCTGCACAGAAGTCACATGATCACCACCCTACGGGTTTCGTTTTAAATGCAAGCTTTGAGCAGTTCTCATAAAGTGAAAGAGGTGGGGGGGGTTGTTTCATAAAACGGTTTTAAACACCATTTTGAAGTGTTTGAGCAACGTGAGTGTCTTTGAAACAAGTATGAAGCTATCAGGTTCTCAGAAGATACCGCAGTGTGGTGGGAGGAGCTCTGGGTTAGGAAGCAGGTTTGGGGGACAGTTCCTAGATTTCTCTTGGTTAACCATAGGAATCCCTTGAGTAGGAGTCCAGGATTTGTATCTGCCCTGTAGGTCCATGTACTCAGCTGCATTCTGGCTTCCCTGAGTTAATGCTTCTGCTGTGCAGGCAGTTACAGATGCTCATGGAGGCCTCAGAACTGAGGGTGGGCCACACTGGGAAGCTGCATGTTTTCACCGTTGTTTCCTTTAAATAGGCTATTATAAGCCAGGAGCAGTGGCTCAGGCCCTTTATCCCAGCACTATGGAGGCAGAGGCAGGTAGATCTGTGAGTGTGAAGCCAGCCTGGTCTACAGAGTGAGTTCCAGGACAACCAGCACTATGTAGAGAGAGCTTGGAGGAAGGGAAAGAGTGAGAGGGGAGAAGAGAAGAGAGAGAAGGGGAGGGAGAGAGAGAGAGAAATGGGCTGTGGTATGTTTGTTCAGCCTGATTTTACTACATTATATCAAGCCTATTCTTGTGTGAATTGATTAGTTTTTACATGTGAGGTAACAAAAGTGACTAGCCTAGAAACAAAGAGCAATGTACAAATCAAAATAGACATGGAGGATTCACTCACTCAGGTTCCACCCAGCTCCACCCTCCAGGCCTCCTGTACCACCCTCACAGCCCTCCATGGCCAGTTCTGTGGGGCCTCTAACTGACAGGAAAGCATGAAATGGTAAGTGGGTGACAATAGCTTGGGGTTTCAATTTCCTAATACAGCCCACTCCCACTTTCTACAATCCTTCATTCAGACTTGCAGCCTAAAACCACAGAGCTCTGCTCTAGAACCAACCATCTCACAAGAGAAAAGGCCCACAGATTTGTACATCTCTGTATCAAAGAAACTGTCACACACACTTGAACAGTGCCCCAGAGTTGAGAATACACCTAAGAGAAAGCCTGGGAGTTAATGTTCAGTTACTAAAATTAAAATATTGTTATCCGAGATAAAATATTGTCTATTAAAAATGTCCATTCTAAATACAGCTTATACTGTAACCACAGCATTAATTTAGCTCATGCATTTAGAGATGTGGACTTTTTTTACTTGCTAGACGCCGTTCTGAAATGTAGTCCTTGTCTGTGTTAAGGAGATCTGCCCTGCATGCAAATCTATAACTAGACAAATATTATTTCCTTTCCCAGCTTGCTCTTGGGAGGTTTCCATATCCTCAGGTAAGATTGTTCATTACTGCCATTTGCCACTGTGACATTCATTCCTATGTATGAAGGTACAGGAAGCGATTGTGAACATTTGAGCCACATACAAATAAATCTGTCCTGTTAAAATGAAAAGTAGTATCTTAAAGGAGTCATTAGAAGTCTCTATTGGCTTTTTATTATTTTTTAACTCTAGACTCTTTTTCCCTTGTTAAAGGTTGACTGAGACCATCTTGCTCCTCTTTGTATGACATTTGAGGTACCCCTCCTGCACAACTTCATGTGCTCATGTTGAGGTGGGGGAGGGGCCCACCCTTTCTTTATACCTTTTATGAGCATTTTGGATTCAATTAAAATTATTCAACTTAAAAGATGAAAAAAGGATGCAGGTATCTGATAGGGGTCGATGTTTTCTCCAGGTGCTTAGGCCCCCAGTTTCCTGTCTGTGATTTTGACCCTTCCCATTCACAAACAGTTCATTGTCAAGTATTGCAAATCCTAAATTTTTATAATTTCTTAACAGTTTTTACTAGAGAGGGATGCTAACACTTAAGATATAAAGCTATTTTGTGGCTTAAATGATTCCCTACTTTTGGGGGCAGCAAGCAAAATGTCCAGAGGGATGAAAAATGACCAGCTGACGGTTCTCTTCTGGTTGCTGTGTGCTGTTTTCCTGGCATCTCGGTCTGAACAGGCCAAAGTGCCTGGAGGCATGTCTGATTTAAAGGTGGTGTTGGTCTCTGCTCTTTAAGCATCTATTAACTTGCTATTATTATGCAAATGAGTGTTGTATTACACAGACTAATTTATGCATGGTTAGATTATGCAGATGCATCACAAACATGGTTATTGAATAATAGGAGGGAGCACCTTCTCCCTAACCATCTCTAGACATAGTCTAGAGGCTCTCTAGGGGCTCTCGACATAGTCTTCTAGCACCCATGTGGACACTAAAAGAGCCTTCACACACTGAAAAGGCTCTTTTGAAGCCCTTTTCCTGCACAGTTAAAAATCAGAGAAATCTTCCAAGTGGTTAGGTTCAGGAGTGTTAGCCTCACTTTTCAAATTAGGAAGTCTCTTTGCTTAAGCATAATCTTTTTTTCTCTTTAAAAAGAAAGTCTAGAACATAGCCACTTGGCACACACAGTAGCACTTACTGAGGTTTTGACACAGATAGCCATGCCACTCAGCTCTGAAGGTAGTCATCAGATTACAGTCACATTGCAGGATTTATAGTCATTTGAACACTCATCTTCTTAAGCCTCAAGTCTGTCAGTAATTTTTAAACTATTCATTGTTTAACTAATGCACATAATCCTGTAAAACTGTGAAAATGAGCATGAAGCCCTTCGTGACCTAACTCTTAAACTAGTCTTAACAGAACATTTACAAGCCTTCTGATAAAAACCGAGAGCCAGGAGGATGGCTTGCCAGGCAAGCCTGATGGCGTGAATATGATCCCTGGGACCCAAAGTGTGTAATGAAGAAAACTGACTTCCACAAGTGACCTCTGACCTCTGCACATGTACCTCCTTCATAATAATAAATGAAATACTTTTAAATTTAAAAGATGGAAACTGTACCAGATCCTTACTGCCCCCAACATGCCGAGTAAGGAAGCAGCGACGTTGGCTGAGTGAGTGGGTTGCAGGGTGGTTGTCACTCTGTGACCTGAAGTCCTTGAAGTCCACAGGCAGATTGGGGAACAGGCAGCGTTGCTTTGTTAATGACTTACCCCTGTCCTTGCATTATGAGTGAATGCTATCTCTGAAATGATGCTTTTATTCAGATCATAAAAGCCACCTCGATGCCATCAGGTCCTTTCCCAGATCTCATCAGAAATTTGGGTGATTCCCTACTGAAAATCAGAGACTAGATTCACATTTCCTTTACAGGCTTCGTGTTCTTGATGAAAGGCTGGGGAAAGGTCCTTTATAAATAACTCCATGGGCTGAGGGATGGTTCAAGATTGAAAGCACTTGCTGCTCTTCCAGAGGACCAGGGTTTGGTTCCCAGCACCCATGGTGGGCAGCACGGAACTGCCTGTAACTTTTGCTCCAGAGGATCCGGTGTCCTCTTCTGGCCTCTGCAGGCACTGTTTGCATGTGGTGGACACAAACTGACACACACACACACACACATAAAAGGCAGCCAGTTGGTGCCTCCCCTACTCCTTTCTTTTTCCCTCAAATGAAACAGGAAAGGAAAATGTGTGTTTCTGAGGTACTACAGAGAGTTCACCACACTGCTTCACTTAAACTCCTGTGTGCTGTGAGACAGCTTTCCTGTGTAACATAAGCACACACCATTACTGTCTGCTAAGCTGTGTCCGACTTGGTTCCATTGACTCTCAAGTGGGGTGGGTAGACATGGATCATAGACTCTGAGTTGAAAGGGATGTTGATGGACGACACTGTATCAAATTGCACCATGGTGACTAAAAGCAGATGGCCAAGCTTTGACTATCTTGAGTGACTGGAGGCTCAGCCCTCACTCAGCCATCTTCTGTCCACCATGCTGTCTACATTCTGCTATCCTGAATGTGGTCCTCGAAGAATAAGGTCATGCCATTTTGGAACCCTCCATACCTGGGCTGGGGAACTGCTGTTCTCAACCCAGAGTCAAGTCAAAGCACAGACTGGCATCTCCTCCTTAGAAGCAGTTGAGCCACAAAGGCCAGTCAGCTTGGGTCAAAAGAATGGGCTCTACCCGATCCGCCAGTCCTTCACTATGGCAGCTTAGGCTTGAGACCTGTCTTCCTCCTCTCTGAGAGGAGAAACCTGCTCTTTCTGGTTGGAGAGATTGTGCTGCCCAAATGAAATGATGGATATAAAGCCGCTTAGGAAAGTACAAAGAGTACCCAGGCCCCCCACCCACCCCATAGGGCTCCAGTGCAGGGCTATAGCTCAAAACAGCATTTACATCTCAGTAACACTCAACCTCACTGGAGAGAGGGCGAAGCTAGAAAGAGCAGCTAGCTTCCTTCCTCCAGTCCAGCGTCAGCACTGCTGACAGCTCTTTAGCTGTCCCTCCTCAGACTAGTGACAGGGTGTGTATCGGATGCAGATGAGGTTGGTGGGCTTGGACCTGAGAGAGTCAGTAGCCAGCAATAATGTAAGTGAAAAGGCTGGGATTCGTAGAGGCCATCCTTCTGTGTGAATGTTGTTGTCTTGTGTAATCAGGTGTTTGCTGTTTGGAAACACTTGCATTTCTTTTAGGCCCTAGAGTAGCACAGCCTCATTTAGATGCACTCTGGATTCTCAGAAAGGTTAGGGGTTTCCATTACAGCAATTTTCATTATTGTTGCTGTTGGGAATGCGATCTGGTTGGTAAAGTTCTGGCCTAAACTTGCCCCATTATCTGGGACGTGGAAAGAGGAGCTAAGACACTCAAGGATATCATTGGCTATGTAGTGAGTTTGAGGCCAGCCTGGGATACATGAAACTGTCTCAAACAAACAGACAGACAATTGTAGGTCAGTGTCTTGAATTCAGCCAGCACCTCCCCTACACAGATCTCCCGAGTACTTTCTGTGCCCAGGCCATACGTCTCACCACAGGGAACTATTACTTCTAGCCTCCCAGTGACTAGGTACACACCTCATCTTAAACAGGAACGGGGCCAACTAGGTCTAGGACTTGGAGGCATTTAAACTCAGTGACTGGCTTTGTCACCTCAGCTTGCCCCCCCCTACCCCCACCCCGCCCAGGCCGTTCACCAAGCCCTCCGCTCATTCAGCTTTCCTGCCAGAGGGTACAGGAAAGAATGAGCATCATGGGCCGTGCTGATGGAGCTGACAAGGCCATTCCCTAGAGCCTTTTTGCTTTTCTTGTTATGTGTTTAGTGGAGTGACAGGAGGGTGCAGATGGCCCAGAGCCCTCCCCAGCCCCGGTGCCCTGAATTCTAGGTGCCTGTGGAGCATATTCCATAATGAGATAACGAGCATTTGCTTTTTGCTTTTTATAACATCTTAACAAAGCCAACTCCAGCTTTAGTGGTAATCTGGCAAGATCTGTGGGTCTAGTCAAGGACTGGAACACGTATTGTCATGTAGATCCAAAGACTTAAAAAACATGGCAGTAGGCAATGGTTTGTTTAATGACACCATAATTTAGAAGAAATGAAAATGATTGTCTGCTAAACATTGTCATCCTTCATTCAAACTTTACAAGTAGGCCCTGCCCTCGGACAGTGGTGACTCCACTAGGGAGACTTAGGGTCTGGCCCTACTGGGCACCAGGGGCCTTGGTAGACCGAGTGCCTCAGGAAAGCAACGCTAACACCGACACAAATGTGTTTAAAGTACTTTTGCATATATAAAAATATTGTTCTTGTTTTGCCTACAATTCCTGATCTCGGTTAATAAATTACATCAAAATGACCCCGAGTTATAAAGGGGGGGGGGGGGTTGGGAGAATCTGAGCAAATAGTGCCCCTGGTATTGTAAAGCTTTGAATGTTTTCACACCCCATTAATTTATTACTTCTCTTTCTTCATCTTTAAATTTCATTTTTTTTTTTCAAAACTTCCGACTCCCCGCTGCTGCAGTGATTTCCATCTTGTTGTTAATTTCCCCTGCTCCATATGGAGCTCCAGACATTTCACCTGGAGGCTGTACTAGATTTTGCTGTAGTGATCCTACTTCCGGAGGCCAAAACTGTCATTTAGGGTTCCTGGTGCATCTGTCGGCGCCAGGCTTTTCACTGGCGTGGGAGAGTGTGAATAACAAATTGGATGCACCTGAGATTCGGATGATTAGTGTGCGCTGGGAATCTCTGAGACTTGAAAGCAGCTCACTCTGGGGGAGGGGCGGGGGGCTGGAGCTGAGGGTGGGCGGGTCTGTGCCCACACCTTGCATTGGGGGCTTGGCAAGTGGCGTGCAGACAGCACCGGCAGCCATGGTGCAGAGATAGTAACATATATTTCATCGTGCCTTGTCATTGATTAGAAAAGAGCCTTTAATTTCATTTCACCCCATGTTGTGATTAATTTGCATTCTTTGTCAGAAGTTAATG